AAAAATTGAATCGCTCGTGTTATCAGTTATGGAGAAAATACAAGTGTCCGGAGTTAGGTGCCGTCCGGCGTTAAGGGACTTCCTCCTACCTAAAAAAATAAAAAAACACTAGAAGATTATTTCTGGCTTTGAGTCGCTCTATCCATTACGTATTTTTCAACGTATTGACATTTTTATTTGGCTTATTCAGAAAGGAGATAGAAGAATGAATTTGATTAATATATTGTCTCTGATGTTGAACTAAAATGTATGTAGTTCATTTCACTACAAATAGCACTGGACCACAACAACGAAAGTATCAATCATCGTATTTGCAATATAATTAGGATTTTACATTATATTATATCCACCATAATAATTCTTATCTAAAATTACTTACAATTGACTTTTGACATTCAAACATGCATGCAATCAAAACATGCTTAGTCAATTTACGTTTTAAATAAATAAAATCATTTAGATTAATAATAAACAGAAAATTTAAAGACGAATACAAGAAAACATTTTGAGCTAAAAGTGACTTTCATTTTTATTTCTTGTAAATAAACATAACATCACGCCTTTTATCCTCGAAGGGGTAGGCAGAGGTGCACATTATGCCACTGTATAATGTAACACCCACTTTTCACTATTTATGTTATGAGTCCCATGTAATAGGGGGTGAGCCTATTGCCATATACCGGGCACAATTTCAGACTCCGTGCTACTACTAAGAATTTTTTTAAAACCCAGTATACTTTGCCCATCCCGGGTATCGAACCCGAGCCCGGCAGTCGCACTTGCGACCATTCGGCTAACGAGGCAGTATTTCTTGTAAATGTTAATATCAATTTCGAAATCCCAGTAATACTTTGCGTATTCTGGGAATGGCACCTGAGACTACATGACCAAGGCGGCCGTCAGTAATAATATATTTTTAACCTTTAGATCTCCCCGAAGAAGTGGTAACTAGAAGAAATGAAAATTGCAGAGCACAGAGACTAGTAGACGCCTACCGCACATATGGACATTTAAGAGCTACAATAGACAATGTCAACTATAAAAATGAAGACAGGTAATATAAAAATTCATAATTAATTACAATCTATTGCTCGTTTATGACTTCTTGAAAAATTTAAGAAAGAGGGAGAATCATGCTTCGGCACGAATGGGCCGGCTCAACCACAGTGGTATCGCTTCGGTCGATACGTCCTCACAGAAAACCGACGTGAAACAACACTTGCGTTATGTTTCATCGTGTGACGGAGGTTACCGGAGGTCCAATCCCCCCCCCCCACTCCCCAATCTCTCCAGTCCCAGAATCCCCATCAATCCTCAAATTTCTAATCCCCAAAAGGCCGGTAACGCACTTGTAACGTCTTTGGTGTTTTGGGGTCTCCATGGGCGACTCCGATTGCTTACCATCAGGTGATCCGTCTGCTCGTTTACCGGCTTATCGACCGGCTATAAGAGGTGTCCAATAATTATTTACGTCTCAACCTTTATACAAACAGTTAAATACTAACATCGCCAGTAAGTAGGTAACCATAACTTTACTGTTGTTTATATTTTCAGAACTGTCAAGGAGCTTAACATATCAAGATACGGTCTCAGTTCAGAGGATGCTGTTGACTTGGGCCTCGTGTACGGTTATGAAGGCAAACAGCCTGTGAAGAACCTGGTAGAAACTTTAGAGGGAATATATTGTGGACCTATCTCTTATGAGTTTAATTATTTAGAGGTTAGTGGTACATATAGAGGTTTTACTAGCTGATGAAGAAAAGAAAAGAGTTACATTACATAACATCACGCCTTTTATCCCCGAAGGGATAGACAGAAGTGCATATTATGGCATTTAATGCCCCTGTAAAATGCAACACCCACTTTTATTTATTTTATTTATTTTATTAACGCTTCATGCACAAGGTGTACACAAGGTGGACTTAATGCCGCAGGCATTTTCTCCCAGTCTGACCTTTGGGTGATGCAGAGAAGAGTGAATGGTAGGAGCAAGAAGCAGCACTTTTCACTATTTATGTTATGAGTCCCATGTAAATGCAGGTGATGACCTATTGCCATATACCGGGGACAATCCAGAGTCCGTGCTTCTACTGAGAATTTTTAAACCCAATAATACTTTGCACGACCCGGGATTCGAACTCAGGACCTCTTGCCCGGCAGTCGCACCTGCGACCACTCGGCCAACGAGCAGACTGCTTGCAACCTACTTCCAAAAACTAATATGGCGCATTCGACTTCAGAATTAGTCTTCAAGAATCTGATTTCAATTGAATTCAATTCAAGAAACGAGGCAGACAAAAGAAGATTTACAAATTGTAAATCAGAAGAAATTGAGCCTTTCGCGTATGGTAACAGGTTTAATTAACCTACTTTTATTTATACAGTTTTGATCATTATAACCCACAATTACCAATGAATTACGTATATGATATAATTATCTATTAATGAAAGGTGCAAGTGTGCAGATCCAATACACACAAAGTTTAAAACGGTAAAATACGATGCGATTATTCTATTTTCTGGATAATCTAACTAGTAGTGACTGCCTCGTTGGCCGAGTGGTCGCAAGTGCGACTACCGGGCAAGGGGTGTCGGGTTCGATTCCCGGGCCGGGCAAAATATTAATGGGTTTTTAAAAAAATCTCAATAGTAGCACGGAGTCTGAAATGTGTCCGGTATATGGCAATACGCTCACCTAGAAGGGTGAGCGTATTGCCGGTAATAGGTGTTACTTCTGTGTGCACCTCTGCCTACCCCTTCGGGGATAAAAGGCGTGATTTTATGTAGATGTCTAACTAGTCTTCAAAGTGAGTTGAGTCAACATACCCGTAGTAAATGTTTTCGTGTAGTGCAGCTCCAAATATTTATTTTACTCTTGTCTAGTGCTAACGCATATTGCATGGCATGCAGGTAACTACAGAATTTGTAGTTTCATCACGTTGCGTCTGTATGTTACGAATACAAATATTCTGATACTAAAAGTTATTTTATTAATACAGTGTTCCAAATAAAACATAGTTAATTTTGAAATGTTATACAAAAAATGTTTTACTTATAATGCTATTCATTCGACAACATTGTGCTGTATTTTAGAATTAAATTCCTGTATAAATCCACAGCAGTCTAAGGAGAGTAAACAACGAATTCGTATTTTTGTATATATCAAAAAACTAATTACACAGAGCTGAATAATAATACCAGTCCATTTTCATTTTAGTCTGTCAAAGCCAAATTTACTGTGATAGTTTGCTGGTTTTTTTCTGGCATAAGCGTTTAAACGAGACCTGACGGTAAGCAATCGGTGCCGCCAAAGTACGTTACCGGCCTTTTAGAAATTGGAAATTTGAGGATTGTGGATCGGGGATTCGAGGATTGGGGAGACTGGGGAGGGGGGGGGGGGGGTAATTGGGCCTCCCGTAACCTCACCTAAGTGAAGAAACACAACGCAAGCGTTGTTTCACGTCGGTTTTCTGTGAGGCCGTGGTATCAATCCGGTCGAGCCGGCCCATATACTTGTATAATCAATAGTTTTATGTTTAACAGAAATTATTTTTTTATCATTTATTTTATAGACAGAAGCCGAACGAGAATGGTTTGCCCAGCGAGTAGAGAATGGTCAAGATGCTATAGACAATGCCCGACGCGTAGAGATCGCAAAGGAATTGATCCGATCCCAAGCCTGGGACAAATTCTTGGCCTTGAAGTTTCCCACCGTCAAGAGATACTGTGGTGAAGGAGCTGAATCTATTCTTACATTTTTCTCTAGTCTTTTGAAGTTAACGGCTGCAGGTGAGATTATAATTTTTATCATAATTTTAATTTTCTCCAAAGTGGTCATAAGTCAATACGTAGGTAATACAGAGTGTCTACCTACTCTTAAATGAACAAATAATTATGTAGTACATCAACTTGCACCTTAGTGTTGCGAGCTTTGACATCTAAATAATCAATAAGAATTATAACTAGGTTATTTAACGGCTTTAATTACATGACATTTATAATAGTCTGAGTTGGCGAGCCCTTTCGTCGTGGGCATGCTGCCACCCTGTTGCTCTTTTATTTTGCTATTTTATAATGTGTTTTTTTGCTTTTATTGTCTTTTTTTTGTTTTTCAATGTTATTTTATGTGTGTAGGTATATTTGGTGGTCCATGCCTGGTGGCGATTAAATTATTTTTATTTCTTTTTTTTCTTTCTATAACGTAAAATAGACCCATAAGTTATAGCTTGAAATATAAAATTATCATAAATTTGTTAACCCAAAATTGTCGTAAAACAAATTAAGACAATAGAAAACGAAGTCAAACTCGTAAAACCAAGTACAGTAATTATAAATTTATTGGATCAAAATTGTGAAAATAATGGATGAGAAATCCAATAGGCTGGCTTTGTTTGAAACTTGAAATTCTCGTAATTACATAATTTATAGAGAACTTTGTTAAGTTTCTTCCCTTATTATGTATAATGGCGTACTTACTTGCCTATTCATGGCGTAGTAAACGCGTAGTCCGTTTCGTACCATCGTAGAATTTGTAGCTACAGCGTAGTAACCTCGTAACCGCTACACAACCTTCGTAACCGCTACGCATTTTCGTAGCCACTATAAAAATTGTAAGGTGAAATATCACATTTTACAATCTGATGAAATCTAATAATACCCTGTATATAAGACAACATGAAATAAATCATACTTACCTGGCTTTGAATTGAGTTGTGTGACCCAAAAAAAAAACTTTTTCAGACTACCTGACTTTCTTAACATATAGGATAACAGCAATCTGTTTTATCTTTTCAAAATTTAATTAATGTTATGCAAGGTCCATGCACACAAAATTCCTAATTTTGGGTAGACAGATGCCAAATGTCAATACGATTCTGACATACCTCTTTGGGTTCATCTACACTAATCAATTACTTCATACAAGCTCGATGATTGTGACTAAGTCGTTACAAAAACTTGTTTTATGTTTTACAGAGGGAGTAGAACACGTGACCATATCTATGGGTCACAGAGGAAAGTTGAATGTAATGACTGGACCTCTGCTGTACCCGCCGGTGAAGATCTTCCACAAGTTCACTGGCCAGCCTGAGTTCCCACCTGAAGCTAATGCTGCTTGTGATGTGGCTTTGCATCTTAGTAAGTTGATAATAAAAAAATAACCTATGTAATACAAGTTAGACATACCAATAACATAACATAACATCACGCCTTTTATCCCTGAAAGGGTTGCAGACACAGGTGCACATTATGTCACTGTACAATGTAACACCCACTTTTCACTATTTAAGTTATGAGTCCCATGGAATAGGGGGTGAGCCTATTGCCATATATCGGGTACAATTTTAGACTCCGCGCTACTACTGAGAATTTTTAACCCAGTAATACTTTGCCCGACCCGGGAATCGAACCCGAGACCCCTTGCCCGGCAGTCGCACTTGCGACCGCTTGGCCAACGAGGCAGTCTATACAGACATACAGACTATACAGGCATACCAATACTAACAGGAAAACAGTTATAATTGTAAGTCGTACTCTAAACTGTCAAACACCGCGAGGACACCGGTGACCGCAACCTATTGTTCTTTAATTGTGTCTATAATGACGGTACTCATAGGGTTAATTGTAAAGAATCACTTTTTACAAACCTGTCTATCCTAACTACCCAATTCTTTCCTATACGAAGATCAAATTTAAGATCTCATCTTTCTAGACTGCAAATTTTTCTGACTGTATTGTATATATTTCAGGTACCTCAGTGGATATTCCAGTTAACGACAAATCTGTTAGATTCTCATTGTTGAACAACCCATCTCATTTAGAGGTAATTTATAATTATTTTATTTATTTGTCAATTGTCCAAATCATGGCATTTCATCTTGTTCTCATAGTGCATAAAAAATGCCATTCTACATAATTTTTCAAATAGGTTAAAATCCCGTAACGCCGGACGTCACTTAACGCCGGACACTTGGATTATCTCGATAACTGATAACACGAACGATTCAATTTTTACTAAAAATCTTAGGTGTCTGCCACTGCGCGACTTCCCCGTAAAAATTGAATTGCTCTCGTTATTAGTTATCAAGATAATACAAGTGTCCGGCGTTAAGGGACTTGCCCTAAGTTCATCCACACAAAAAGTTACCCAGGATATGTGAAGTCTTCCAATAATTTGTTAATGTTCCAGGCAGCTAACCCAGTGTCTATGGGTAAGGCTAGATCAAAACAACTGCTGCTGAAGGAAGGAGACTATTCTGAGGATGGATCATCTAGATTAGGAGACAAAGTACTTAATCTTCAGGTAATATAACTTTTTTACCATCGAAATTTGGTCGTTTTTTATTTTTTGCATGTTTATTCTTTCCATATTATATTGTACTTGTACCGAAATGGTTTATACCTTTCTTAAGTTAAAAAATTTAAAAAGAAATGTTGTTGCAAAATAAATTATGATTCTTACTATAATAATATTCTTACTATTTACTACTACTTACTATTTACTATTCCGGTTACTATATATATACTTCCGGTTCTACCACTCAGCTGTACGAACGTCTCGAAGTGTAACCCGCAAAAATAATCATAAAAGTGCTAAAAAACTTATTTAAACCATATAAAGTGCCGGTGAAATAACATTAAAGAATAAATCTATAAAATAGAAAATATAAACTTTGTGTGTGTCCAGTGTATATCAAATTAACTGCAAGTTTTATTGTTTCATAACCTATAAACAAACAATAAATAATATACCTGTCAATCAAGCTTACCAACTTCAGAACAAGGAATAATTCCGGAATTCGTTCCGTTTCAAGCAAATATCAGAACGAGTGTTGCCACTTTTGGAAATAGATTTCTACAAAATAAATCAGTGTGGCCACTTTCACAAATTATTTTGTACCAAATTGAATCAGGGTTGCCAACACCGAAACCTAAAATTACCTGAGATGGATGACCAAATGCAACTATTATTTACTAAACTAAAACTAGAGTTGCAAAAACAAACAACAATATTACAAGATTCTATTAGAGAAGAAATGGACCAGAAGTTGAAACCATTAGTGGAAGAAAACCAGTATCTGAAAACCCAAGTAGAAAAATTCAAGGAGAAGATAAAATGGCTGGAAACTGGGAAAAGAGAAAATAATTTGATTTTCTACGGTTTTAAGGAATCCCCAGACAAAAACTTTAACATAATTCAAATGATAACAAAATCTCTAAACGATTCTGGCATGGAAATAAACAAGCGTGATATTAGCAAAGCATTTAGAATTGGAAAGGCAAACAACGAGGCGCGCCCCATTTTAGTAAACTTCTTGAATATATGGAAAAGAAACGAGATTTTGAAAAACAAAAGTAGACTTCCTAAAAATATATTTGTTAATGAAGATTACAGCAAAGAAGTTCTGGAGAAGAGAAGGGAACTCGTATCTCAACTAAAAGAAGAGAGAAAAAAGGGACGTATAGCATACATAAAATATGATAAGCTGGTTGTAAAAGACACAGAAGGTTATATTCGAGACAAACGAAAGAGAGAACAATCTGATTCTCCAAATAAAATTAATAAAAACGATCGACCCAAAATTAATAAAATAAATGCTTTTGAAAGAATGTACAGAAATAGATCCCACTCGACATCCGAGTTAAACAAAGAATAGCCATTAACAACACACATCGGTAACCGGAAGATCAGAGCAAACCAAAGAAAAATATTTAACGAGACATCAAAAAACTTTATACCTCCCCCAAGCCGGCTGGTCCCCGTGGGGGATAGCGACCAATCCCTTCCAGCTAAAATATCTGAGAGAAATAATGGATTTAGTATAAAAACAAGAGTAAATGCCATAAAAAGAAATGAAAATAAAAAACTCTATATTGCCACTCTAAACTGCCTTACACTGAGAACCCAAGAGAGACTAATCGAATTAGAATCAGCACTCTCAAATATTAAATGGGATGTATTAGGATTAAGCGAAGTTAGAAGGTTGGGAGAAAGCATTGAAGATCACAAAAATTTCATTTTATACTATAAAGGTGAAACAAAAGGCAGCTACGGAGTTGGTTTTATGGTTAAAAAATATCTAGAAAGAAACATAGAAGAGTTCAAGGGCATATCAGAGAGAATAGCAGTACTTAATATGCATATTCCAGCATACAAAAATAAATGGTCAATTGTTCAAGTCTACGCTCCCACGGAACAACATGAGGAATCGACCAAAGACCTTTTTTACAACCAGCTGTCATCAGTCCTACAAGAAACGCACAAAAATGTTATGGTAATAGGAGATTTTAATGGTAGAATAGGAACGCAGCGAGCGGGAGAGGACAAAGTAATTGGCAATTTCGGTTTTGGTAGAAGAAGCAAAAACGGAGAGAGAATGATTAACATGGCCTTTGAAAATAACCTTGCTTTTATGAATAGCTTTTTCATCAAAAATAGAAAGAAAAAATGGACATGGCATTCACCAGATGGATCTTATAAAAATGAAATAGATTATATAGCAACTAACAACAGGAAGCTGTTTCAGAACGTAGATATTCTTAGTCAATTTAATTTTAACACCAACCATAGGATGGTCAGAGCTGTAATAAATAGTAAGGAACCGAAAAAGAGTAGAAGTAAATTTAACGTACAAATTCATAGTATAAAACATCAAACAGAGGAAAAACACAAGACAATGAACTATTATGATAATGAAATAAACAGAATATTTGGATTAGCACACACGAAACTAATGAAACCTAAGACAAGTCATATAGAAAAGGAAACTAAAGCTCTAATAGAAGAAAGAAAGCTACTTTTAAAATCTAAAAGAGACAAACATAACTTAAAAGCTATTTCAGAAATAAGTAAAAAAATAAGTAACAGTATTAAAAAAGATAGAACTAAAAAAAGAATAAACACCATCAACTACCACATAAAAAAGACGGGAGGAGTCAAAAAGGCTTTGAAAGAACTTATAGACTCAAAAAAATGGATACCTAACATGAAAAATAAAATTGGAAAACCGGAAACAAAAAGAAGAAACATAATTCAAATAGCGACTGATTTTTACAGGAAACTTTATGCAGAAGAACCCAATCTCAAGAACGGGACCATAAATCGTGAAGACGACGACACGGAAGATATACCGTACTTCCTACAATCAGAAATAGAAAAAGCAATACAGAGCCAAAAAAACGATAAAGCACCTGGACCAGATCAGATAACAAATGAAATGCTAAAAGTTGCAATAACGATACCTGAAAATCTAAAGAAACTCACAGACGTATATAATACTATCTTGGGAACAGGGATCATACCACCGCAATGGACTAAGAGTACAATAATTCTGTTACACAAGAAAGGAGATAGGGACAACATAGAGAACTATAGACCTATAAGCTTAATGTCCAACATATACAAAGTCTTTTCTAAATTGATCCTAAACAGACTTACAGGGCTACTTGACCTGCAACAACCCATGGAGCAAGCAGGATTCAGAGCAGGATTTTCTACAATTGACCACATGCATGTCCTAAATCAGCTGATAGAAAAATGCGCAGAATATGGTAAAACTTTATACATTGCATTTGTGGATTATAGCAAAGCATTTGATTCAATACACCACGACTCGCTTTGGAAGGCTTTGGTTGAACAGGGGGTTCCTAAAAAATACATACGCGTTATAAAAAATATATATCAGAAAACTACTGCACAAATAAAATTAGAAACAATCGGTGAAGAATTCCGAATAGCTAAAGGTGTAAGGCAAGGAGACCCTTTATCTCCAAAGCTCTTTTCTGCAATCTTAGAAAGTGTATTCAGGGATCTGGAGTGGGAAAACTTCGGTATAAGTATAGACGGCAAAAAGCTCAACCACTTGAGATTTGCGGATGACCTAGTCCTGATCACTGACAACGCAACTACACTTCAACATATGCTGCAACAGTTGTCGGAGGCGAGTAGAAAAGTAGGTCTCACTATGAATCTATCTAAAACAAAGTTAATGACAAACAGGGAAGAAAAAGTTGTAACTTTGGATGACGCAAGTATGGAATATGTGAGGACTTATACATACCTAGGACAACTAATTGCGTTTAGAAACCAAACAAAAAATGAAATCGACAGAAGAGTAGCTAATGCATGGAATCGTTACTGGTCACTTAAGGAGGTACTTAAAAGCAAACACTTCCCCATGATAGCAAAGAAAAAAGTGTTCGACTCGTGTGTCTTACCATGCCTGACATATGGATGCCAAACTTGGGCACTGAACCAAAAACATCTCCTAGCACTCAGAACATGTCAGAGGGGCATGGAAAGAAGCATGTTAGGAGTTAGAAAAATGGATCGCATACGAGCAGAAGATATACGATCCATAACAAAGGTAGAAGATATAATAAAGAAAGTAAGGCAATTAAAATGGAGATGGACAGGACATATGACGAGAGATAGCAAAACAAAATGGACTAAAATTATAACGGAGTGGCAACCACGAGATGGTAAACGAAAGAGAGGCAGACAGGTAAAAAGATGGATGGACGACATAAAAAAGGTCGCTGAGAATACCTGGCCAAGGAAAGCCAGAGACAGGGAAGTGTGGAAACAGCTGGAAGAGGCCTATGTGTCACAGGACACGCTGATCACTAAACCGAAACTGATGTGTTAGTTTATAAGTTAGTTTAATTATTACTTTTGTTATTTTAGTTTAGTTCAGCAATAAAGGCTTATTATTATTATTATTATACTATTTACTATTTATTACTATTATAGTAAGAATATTATTTTGCAATAACATTTCTTTGCCATACCTAGGTACCTGTTTCTATAGATTAGACTATGAATGTGATACTTTTTATTACCTTTATCCTTAAGGTACTACTGCATAAGTATGTCGTGTGTCTGGGGTGGACTGATAAACACATTCTCATTTACCTACCTACACCCGGAATAACAATTAGGATGCTACATGGGAATAAACCTTCGACGCATTGCATAGCAGTCGCTCACCCAACCACTGATGGACTGCAATCAACCATAATTATTTAATTTTCTTGTTTTGAAGTATTTCATAAGTAAATATACTTTAAATTTATTTCATTTTAGTTGCATGGAGACGCAGCTTTCGCTGGTCAGGGAATAAACCAAGAAATGCTGATGATGTCACAAGCCCCACACTTCAATGTCGGTGGATCCATGCACGTCATTGTTAACAATCAAGTAAGTAGACATTTATCGTAAAACTACTGTACAACTGCGACTAGATGACTATTTAATCTTATACTATTATATAAAGCGGAAGAGTTTGTTGGTTTGTTTGAACGCGCTAATCTCCGAAACTACGGGACCGATTTGAAAAATTCTTTCTGTGATGGATAGCCAATTTATCGAAGAAGGATATAAATAAAACATCACGCTACGATTAATAGGCGGCGAGCAGAGCGAGTGAAACCGCGCGGAAGTAGCTATTATAGTTATCTATGACTTATGTCACTAATATAAAACGCCATAGGGGTTAAAAGAACCAGCGGAAGATTAGCTTAATATAATTAGCTTATTATAATTAATAGTTAGCTGTCTGCAATCAAAGGGTTAATCGATTTTAGTATTCAAAACCTGACTTATCCTACATAAGTATTTTATTGTCTTCCACTTTTTTTACCTTCAAAAGGCGATTTTTACCACACTAAAACCTCCTCGCTGGCCACCATCTGCACGTGAAGGAGGCACCGGGTCCTCTTAGTAGACCAACCCCGGAGCCCCCACAGTGCGACACCTGCACCTCCCTATGGAGACCTATGTGTCTACCTAGAGCCTCTCTGTGCAGTGCACGAATCATCCCTGAGGTCAATATGATTACCTACTCTATGCGCCCATGACCCCAAATCCACTAAATACCTAGTACTTCTTGTTCTAAAATCGCTACACCATTCCATCTCGCTCTTTTTCCACCATTTGGTAAATGACAGCAATAATTTTTAAATTATCTCAGTATTTTATAAACCGGCAACAACTGGCCATTCATAACGTAAGTATAAAAGTGTGTTGGTAATCAAGAAACATTAAGGAAAGCTTTAAATTCTGCCAAAGTACGTTTTAATGAGTTTATTATTGTGCTATATTGTATGAAACTGAAGGATAGGCAACAACATCTTAACTGTCATAACTATCGTGAGATTAACTAAAAATCGTGGGTTAATCACGTGAAAATACTGAGAAAAGCTCTACTAGTTTCGATCCACGGATGGGGCTCTTCCTCATGAGCAGCGTGGAGGATTTTTCGTTAACATCTTAACTTTTGGTAATCTGCAACTCCAAAGTCGTCAGCCAAGAGTGGGGATTAAATGTAGGAAATTATATAAAACCAAGTATATAAGCAAGCTTTAGTTGAGCCATGTACAATATGGATGATGACACCCTGTCATCATGAAAATTAAAAATCTAATTAGTCCGTCAGTTAGATAATGAAAAAATATTAGACTGTCTACTATTTTTCTTATTGTCTACGATCGTTTGTCTACAATACAATCGTTTTGGAGTGGGAGCTAGCTACGTCACTTTTGAGTATATAACGTAGGTACACAAAAGTGAGTCGAAAGTGTTTGTTTCCGTAAGAAATTAAAAAATACGTGTCTAATGTTTTAAAATAATCTACCAGGCGGACATTAAAATAAACATTACTCATCTACCCTCTTTAGCCATATTCTGGCTGATGATGAACTTTTTAGTGTGAGTTAGGAAGGATCAAACAAGAGTTGACATTTCGCCATATGATTAGCAATCAACAGCCCATGATGACAATGATGTTAATAAGTAGACTACGACATTGAGACTTCAACAATCCAATTATGCTTAACAATCCACAAAACCTTCTCCCAGGTTGATTACAACCAACCTTAGGGCCGGCACTGTAATGCAGGGCTTTTTTTAAGGGGGCAAAATCATCGAATGACTGCTTTCGCCTAGGTGAGGCGGGAGGGAGTGTCAGACTCTTACTCACTAAAAACCGAAAAGAATTTTCCACAGAACTTGTGCTCAATAGTCACTCTGAAATACAAATAAGTTTTTTAAAAGTACAAAAATGAAAATTAATTATTATGTTTTCGGTTTTTACTCACTTGCTACTGAAGTAGCAGCGCGACAGTCGCGGTTTTAGCCGGTAAGAGTCCGGCACACCCCTCTCGCCTTTCCCCAGGCGGAGACAGTCCATGAGGATTACCTCCCATTAAAAAAAATAGGTTAGTTAGGTAGCTAACCAACCTTATACATTCTCGTACATTATGGAACCCATCTTCGCATAAATCTACCAAAGTACATCTTTATGAGTCAGTGTTTTTGTGGTTTAATGCTGAACAAGCGATATAAATCACTGCACCTAACGTTCTTAATGTTCATGGTAGCGTATCAAAAAAATGCAAGTTCGGCTGTTAAAAGATATAAGGCGGTCGCATTGGGTATGAATTCGAGTCTAGTAAAAAATAAAGGAAATTGTCAGGAAATTAGTAAATGATTCTTTGTTTTAACAGACATTTGATGAACTTTTTTGGTCTAATCTAGCATTCTTAAGTGGGAATTTCTTAAGTCCCAAGTACCAATTCATTAAATTTTATTATTTCCTTTGATTTGGGATGGCTGTCAGTAATAAAAGTAATTTCTCTTCACACAAAAATGAATGCACTAGAAGTTCTCATCAAGTTACCTACACTATTTGGAAAAACGTACCTCTTCATGTGAACATTTTTTTTGGCCTTGAATCTTTTACTCTGGCTTTTGTTTTACTTACCCCAAATTGTTTTGCTCTCACTGTATCACAAACACGTACGCCTATGTTCGATCATTTAGCAAAAACATGGTTTTCCCATTCGTCACCCACAGATGTATAATAACATCAGAACCCTTTTTTCCGTATTAAGTTCAATGTAAATGTAATAAATTAGATATTGGCTTGGAAATACTTTGTTTGGCTGTTTGTTTATGGTTTATATGGAATATTCCATTAACATTAAGTCCGCCTGTACTATTTTAGTGCTAAGTTAAATAAAATTTAACGTTGTTTCTCAAAAGGTACATACTTATCTATTCTCTCTAGATAGTATTCTAAAATATTTTTTTGTACTTTTCAGGTTGGTTTCACTCTGCCAGCCGCACGCGGTCGCTCCAGCCGATACGTCACAGATTTGGCCAAATCCATCGCAGTTCCTGTCATCCACGTGAATGCTGATCATCCTGAGGTAATATTTGTATAATAACTTTCGTAAGGGATGTCATACTAAATTTAAAAAAAATACTCTGCTAATTGGGGACTGGGATGGGATAAACTGGTAAACGAGCAAACGAATCACCTGACTGATGGTAAGCAATGTGCGCCGCCCATGGACACCTGAAACACCAGATGCGTTACAAGTGCGTTACCGGCCTTTTGAGGATTGGGAATGTAAGGATAGTGGGGGATTCGGGGGTTGGGGCGATTGTGCAGGGGGTATATTGGCCTCCGGTAACCTCACTCATACAACGAATCACAACGCAAGCGTTATTTCACGTTGGTTAGTAGTATTACTGTTGTCGAGTCAGCCCATTAGTACCTACCGAAGCATAGCTCTGACACACTTAACCCGTCGAGCGTCCGCGTTCCTTGTGCATTTCCTTATCCTTATGCATGCAAGAAAATGCATTTATTTGGTCATTGGCACACGAAAACAATAGAAATAAAACAAATACAGTCAAAATAAAAACAAAACTTTAATAAAAGATTTTATAAAAGAGAAAGCAGCATGGAGCATTTTTTCTTATGATCCACCGGGTGCTCATAAGGACGCTCGAGGGGTTAACACGATCTGTTATTAATGTGTCTTCTATTTCCAGTTGGTAGTAAAAGCTACGAACATAGCCTTCGAGTACCAGCGCAAGTTCCGCAAGGATGTGTTCATTGACTACAACTGCTTCAGGAAATACGGGCACAATGAGGTCGATGACCCCACCTTCACCAATCCACTCCTTTACAAACTCATTCATAGTAGGAAGTGAGTATATTTTGGTATTTTTTTTTAAGGGGGGAAAATCATCGAATGACTGCTCCCGCCTGGGTGAGGCGGGAGGGAGTGTCAGACTCTTACTTACTAAAAACCACCCCGTCCCTTCTCCTGCGCGTCGAGCCGGAGCCCCGGTTACCCGTTAGGTTCTCCGCGATTTGGTATAGTTCCTTAACTAAATTCACGTGATCTCTTGTCATATACAATCTCTCTAAAGGGCTAACTGACTCTGAAACTGAGTCATTTTATGAAATGAAATGGAATGATATTTATTTCTGCAAATAGGTTACAATGTAACACTTGAACACGTCAATTTTTAAATTACTGGATGAAGGCCGACATTTCCTAACTGACTAGTGACTACTCTGAGAACAAACGCCGAAACAAAATCAGAGGTCATATTATATGGTTACTTAAACCAGTCTATAGCAATGCAGAACTCTTTCTAAGGAATACACATACATACATAACATCACGCCTTTACCCCCGAAGCGGTCGGCAGAGGTGAACATTACGGCACTTAATGCCATTGTACGATATAACACCCACTTTTCACAACATAAATATATGTTATGAGTCCCATGTAATAGGGGGTGAGCCTATTGCCATATACCGGGCACATTTCCAGACTCCGTGCTACTACAGAGGTTTTTACTGCTGCGCAAGCGCGCAACGTATATGGCAATAGGCTCACCCCCTATTACATGGGACTCATAAGCAACGTATATGGCAATAGGGTCACCCCCTATTACATGGGACTCATAACATAAATAATGAAAAGTGGGTGTTACATTGTATAGTGGCATTAAGTGCCGTAATGTGCACCTCTGCCTAGTTCATCGGGGATAAAAGGCGTGATGTTATGTTATGTTATGTTATAATTCTATAAATCATTACTTAATTTACATTTTTTAGAACAATCCCAGACCTGTACACAGAAAAACTGGTGTCGGAAGGTCTGTTAAGTGAAGAGGAGGTGAAGAATGAAGTAGCAGCACACACCAGCTACCTACAGAAGCAATTCGAAGCCGTCCCTACTTACAAACCTGAGGTAAATATTAGTATTTATACATATATATTAGCAACAGTGTGCTTATATGTGTGCGTGTGTGTCCATGTTATATCCACGTTCAACTATTATCTATACTACTATACTATCAATATTATGTCACTTTTTATCGCCGAAGGGAACAGAGGTGTACGTTACGGCACTGAATGCCACTGTACTTTGTAAGACTGCATGATTGGTGCGGTGGCTGGGCAACCGGCTGCCGTGCAACGTGTCGCGGGTTCGATTCTCGCACAAAACACTTTGTGTAATCCACAAATTGTTGTTTCGGGTCTGAGTGTCATTGTGTATGTGAATTTGTATATTTGTAAATGGAGAAAATACTAATGTGGGGCAACGTTTAAAAAAAATACACCAACTTTTCACTGTTTATGTTATGACTCCCATGTAATAGGGGGTGAGCCCGGTATATCCCAAACTCCGTGCTGGGAAATATTTAAAAAACCCAGCGATACTTTGCCCGACTCGGGAATCGGTCGCACTTGCGACCACTCGGCTAACGAGGCAGTCAGTCTTAAATAATAAAAGGTGGTCTATTGTGATACATTTAAGACTTTGTTAGTGTATTATTAATAAACATTTCGATAAACCGAAAAACAAGTTAATATGTCAACTGAATCTAGTCTAAGACCTCGAGATATTGCGAGCGGCTTACCTCACTCCCACCACTTGACTAACAATTTCAACACAAACTTCTATAAAATCAAAAATCAAACTCCATAAGCAACATTAAGTAAGAAACTTGCTTACACGTAACTTTACCTCCTCTACGTGAGCATAAATAAAATGTTTTCATTTATTTTAAGACTAACTTTTGCCTTCGACTTTGGACGCGGTTTCAAATTTGTTCCGGTACCGGATTGTCCAATCTCAGGAAATGTACTCTTAAGATTCCCGGGAGTAATCCATCAGTTGCAATTTTGAGTAGTTTTTTCTTTATCTTCTTTATTATGAGCCCTGTATAATTGCAGGTAATACTATTTGAATATTTTTTTTATTAACACGTTGCCCTACTTTAGGATTTTCTCCTGTGTCGTGGGTGCATTTACATAATACAAGTGCACATACAATGACACCCAGACCAGGAACAATAATTTGTGGATCACACAAAGTGTTGTTCCGTGCGGGAATCGAACCCGCGACACGTTGCACGGCAGCCGGTTGCCCAGCCACCGCACCAACCGTGCAATCAAACCTATCCAGCACAGTTAATGAGAAAATTTTCGAAAAGACAAAAAGCAACATTTCTTGTGTAGTCAGTCTATTAAAGACAGACAAGTTTTTATGTAAATTTCTATATAAATATAACTTTAAATGTACGGTTCAGCGTTACAAAGAAGATTATTAACTTTAACTGAAGATGGTAAAGTTCATCGAGGTACCTTTATTAATGAATTAGACATTGTTATTGTTTGTTAGGGCCAAAGTTTTCAACATCAGATACTTAGGAACATGATGTTGGAAGAACAACGTATTGTTCGATATATAATTACCTATTTGAAAGTTTAGATATTCTGTGTCGAAGGAGTAGATAGAGGTCCACACCCACAATATATCACGCACTATTCACAATACCGGTTCGGTTATGAGTCCCATATAATAAGGTAAGGCTATTATCATATACTAAGCAAATGTATGGGAAAGTAAAGTGTGGGAGAGCCATACTACGGCACAGATGGGCCGGCTTGGCCGGAGTGATGACACGCCCTCACAAAAAACCGACGTGAAACACCGGTTGCATTGTGTTTCATCGTGTGAGTGAGGTTACCGGAGGCTCAATTCCCCCACCCCCTCTCCAGTCTCTCGAACCCCCACAATCCTTAAATTCCCAATACCCAAAAGGCCGGTAGCGCACTTGTAACGCCTTGGTATTTCAGATGTCCATAGACGGCACCGATGGCTTACCATCAGATGATCCGTCAGCTCGTTACCAGTTTATCCCATAAAAATGTATAGTGAAGTAACGTAGTTCGTAAAAAAGGTTAAATTAATCTACATGGATAAGTTTTTACAAACTTTTTCTAAATAACTAGTTACAAAAGTACATTAGAACATTAAGCAAGTTCAACATAAATCATAATTGGAACTGAAAACAACATTAAACTTGTATCAGAAAAACAAATCAATCAGTTTATAAAGATTATTTGATTTTAAATGTCAATTATTGTTTGACAGCTCCAAAACTTTGGAACATAGTTGTAGTTTTCGATGATAACAATATTGATAGCTATTGTTCTGGAGATTTTATGGTTTTAACGATCTTGCAAACGTGTAGTCGGAGAGCAAATTGCTTGATTTCTAGGTTCATCTTGCAAGGTAAGAATCGTACTTTAGGAATTGCTCTTGCAGTTTTAATCTCATTTCAACTACATATTAATTAAAATTGACTCACTTTTCGAGTGATTTCATTGTGCGTGACGAACCTCTGTATTTGAGTAATTGTAAGTGGATCTGTTCAGAGGGCCAAGCACGAATAACTATCGCATTCGTAACGTAATACTATCGAGCGCGTTCGGCGCTCTAATTGGCCGGCTCAAGTGAACCAACCAATCAGAACGCTTAACTTTCTCGATACTGTTATGATACGAATGCGATAGTTATTCGTGCTTGTCCCTCTGAACATTAATTTGAGTTTAAAGCCGCCAAGTTTTCTTGATTTATCTACTTGAGAGCTCCATATTTAAAAAATTGGCGAAACTATACACGGTAATCCTTTGCTTACCCCATAGGAATATAACATGCGAAACTTTATGATTTTTCATTTAATAACATAGTTTTCGATAAAAAAAATTGATGTTCATGGAAACCTCGTAGCAGGATCTTGTACTAAGAGATACAAACACATAACAAGTTACGATGTTATTCACGTCTCTTACGATGGAGTAGAGGTCAGTTAACTTGGAACAAAGTTCTGACTTGATGAACAGAATAACCAATTTACAAGCGTAGCTGTAAACGTGGACTCAGATACTACGTAACACCCAAAGTACTGGTATAGTACTGTTTCTTATAGAAGAGATAAATACAATCTTTATTGGTACTAAAATTACTACACACTTCACTCTTACTATACACTTACTATACACTTCACTCTTTACCAGAAGAAGTTAAATATAATTCTACTATGTAATAGTCAAAGTCAAAACATTTATTTCAATTAATCCCCATTTAGGCACTTTTGAAACGTCAAAAATTTAATTGTACGGCCGTCCGTCTGTATGTCAGTGAAGATAGGTTCTCGTTCCAAAGTGTTGTTTCGAATGGAGAAGAACGAGGAAGAAACTCAATCGTTAGGTACTCTTTTAAAAAAAATGTCTTATAGTCTCATTGATACATTATTTGATCCTTAATATGATTTAAAGCGTACTAATTACGCTACTCAAACACCACTTAAATACACCTTAAAAAGACAGACAGCATGTAACAACATTTTATTTGAGAACATTTTATTACTCGATCGTAAAATACTGGAACTTATGTCCAGTCGAAAGTCAAGTTTAAAGCGTTAACATCAAGATATACTTTCGATAAATCAATGTTTAGTTACACAGTTGAAAAGTTCATACTGAAAGGTTCTGTTAGAGGCGATTATGATAATGCCCTGTTGTTATGGATGTTATTCGAGAAATCTAGTAATTCGGGAAGTCTCATACATTATTTATAAGGTACGATTTGTGATTGAAATAACTACATGCCTTATATTTCCGAGTCCTGAAATGAAAGACCTTGCCCCCAGCGAGGAAGGAAGGAATGATGTTGATATTTACATATTTTACCTACCGTTGACAATTCAAGGGTTTTCTAACTATTATTTGTTGTATTTTGTTCAAGGTAGAGTTTTTTAACGTGTATTCGGATAGACTAAAAATGTGACCAAGAATACTTATGTCGCAATACTGAAACGTTACTCAATTTTAAGACGTGCTTAAATATCATGCTGTCTGTGTCATTTTACAAAGAATTTGTAGAGACAAAACTATACTTAAGCGCGACTTAAAATTGAGTAACGTTTCACTACTTATTCCGGCGTTAGTCATACAGACTATATACCTCGTTTAACTTTGCATAGCATCTGTTATTTTTTGAACGAGTTGGCAAAAGTCTGGTTTAAATTTTTTTGTCTACAATTTAGACCATAGATAATAATTTCATTTTTTTATGGAATGAGCCAGTAAACTAGCAGACAGATCACTTGATGGTGAGCAATCAGCGTCGCCCATGAACACCCGAAACCAGCTTTGTACGAGCTTCTTAGGGATTAGGAATTTAAAGATTATTGGGGATTTGGGGATTAGGGAGATTGGGGAATAGAGTAATTGGGCCTCCGGTAACCTCGTTCATACGATGAAACACAAGTGTTGGTTCACGTCGGATTTCTATGAGTCCGTGGTATCACTCCGGTCGAGGCGGCAGGCGGCCCATTCGTGTCGAAGCATGGCCCTCCCACACTTACTTCTTACACAGACAAACTTACTTCTTATCTTAATTTCAATACTTAACAGACATTCAATACTTAAATATAGGAAACATTTATCTCCAAACCAAATACCATGAGTACCTACAAATTAAAACCGTGTATCTTTTTCCTCCACAAATTCAGACTGTCCCGATGTCTAACAAATTACAGATAAGATTTAGAAGTGTATCTAATTTATTGTCTGGGCCTTTTGTTCACTGCTTACAGCTATCTACTTTATCACTAGTAGCTCTGCCTTATCCCTTCACATCCTAACTGTTCTGTGTTCCTCTTTAATTAGTCGCCAGGCTGGCTCAAAACTTTGTAAGGACAATAGGGCTTTAAATCGGCTGTATCCTTCCACTTGTGTTTGCTTTTAAGCACTTTGTTGTCTCCTACAATAGTACCACCATTTCCTCTGTATATAGTACCTTTATTTTGATGATAATGTCTTATGAATGTTTATTGAGTTTCTAGAATTTGAATCAAAGCATTAGTATATTTTTTATGGTTTGCTCTGTTGAGATTCATTGATAGGGACTAGTAGCTCCAATATTTAAATCATATTCTTGAAGACTAATTCTGAAGTCGAATGCGCCATATTTTTTTTTATGGAAGTAGGTTGCAAGCTATCTGGGATATCATCTGATGGTAATTAATCAGCACCGCCTATAAACACACCAGAGATGTTACCAATGCACCTTAGTTTTTCAATAGATTTCTTTTTTATATAATATATTGTAGTATTTATGCAGTAGGTATAAGTATTTGTTTAGTAGTATATATTATATGGTATGTATATGTCTATAAAGATTTATAAAATATTGTATTAATATATTTATTCTATAGGTATTTATGTGTGTAGTATACATATTACATAACTTTATTTTTCAATTGTGTTCTGGCTTCGCATCAACCACTTCATTTCTCTGCACTTCCCTATGGTTGACTGTAAGAGAATGCCTTAAGGCATTAAGTCCGCCACTCACTGTATTTTGTGAAGAAGTTAACAATAAATAAATAAATAGATACAAACTTGTTTAAAACCTCGGTTGGCTGGTAAAGAATGCCACCCGGCATTAAGACCGTCATTGTATAATTGTATGTACAGAAAGTGTTAAAAGTTAAAATAAATCAAGAAATAAATAAATGCGTTACAGGCCTTCTACGTAACCGTAAATGTTCAATGCATTCTATCTTAACACCATATTATTACAGGTCAGCTACTACCAGGAGCAGTGGGCAGGTTTCCAAGCAGCACCCAATGCTGTGGAGACCTGGGACACAGGAGTCGACACGGGTCTGCTGCAAATGGTTGGACACGCCTCTGTTGCGTACCCTGATAACTTTGTAAGTACCATTTAATTTTTTACTTCACGTATTCAATTACACTTTCAAGAGGGACTTATTGATGATATAGGACGTAGATTTTTATTAAGCTTTAATACATAGGATGAATTAGGTAATTTTCAGGGCATCAAAATTAAAAATCTAATTAGTCCGTCAGTTAGATAATGAAAAAATATTAGACACGTATTGTTATATTGTCTTGTATTAAGTTGCCATACTTAGATAAAATAATGCTAAGTTTAGGAGTGGAAGGTGGTTACGTCATAACGTGCTACAAAATGTGGCACGCTGTGACGTCACACGATATTTTAAATTAATATATCGTCGAAGGTATAAAATTTTGAGAGAAAAGAAAAAATACGTGTCTAAAGTTTTAAATTAATATACCAGACGCCCAGACGGACATTAATATAATAGTTAGGAAACTACCCTATTACCTACATACATTGCGAAACAGAATCATTGAACCCACTCAGTTTTCGCTGCCATGGAAGACTTGACGGGTTGCCGGGGCTCCGGCTCGAAGTACAGGCATAGGAACGGTGTGGTTTTTAGTCAGTAAGAGTCTGACACTCCCTCCCACCTCACCCAGGCGGGAGAAGTCATTCGATGATATTCCACTTGAATAAAAATTCTCGCTATGTATATGACAAGTACCAAGTGATTATTGGTTTGTACCTCTATCAAAATAACTATTTAAAGACAATAACAAGAAACTAGAATATTATCATTAAATAATACGACTTGTTTGTTCAACACTTCATATATCCCTAACAACATAATCAAAGGTCAACGTCTTTTTCGTCACCAATAAGAAACTAAGTACTCTAAGTATGGACTCAATTGCCACAGTTCCAATCCAATAAATTAGTTCACTACTAGAACAGTCTAGCCATCACAGTTAAGGATTACAGCTGATTGAGGTCAAACTAGCGTCTAACGCTGGAATCGAAGTTCTGGATCCACATTCATTAGAAACTTTGTTTAAGCAATAGGGATGCTGACAGGGTATGAAAATTAAAAATCTAATTAGTCCGTCAGTTACGTTATGAAAAAATATAAGCCACGTATTTTTTAATTTTGTCGTATAATAAAACAATACAGATAAAACGAATCAAAGTTTAGGAGTGGGCGCTAAAACGTCATTTCTACGTATAAAATGTATAGAACTGACGTCACGCGACATTTCAAATCAATATATCGTCGAAAGTATTCGTTTCTTTAAGAAAAAAATAATCTAATGATTTAAAATAATCTACCAGACGGACATTAAAATAAAAATTAGGCATCTACCCTATTATATTGTACCTATGTAAACATATAGTATTAACACCATGACAATCGAAAGTATTACTTTTGACATTTGTTTAACGTTATTTTATTTTTAGCCATGGTCGTGCCACTTCAGGGTAGGTATGTAATATCGAACAAACACCTCGTAGTTCTTACTGATAATATTCAGGTTTCTTATTATTGTCTTTATAGTTGTAAGTTGTAACGTTATAGTCAAGCCATGTCGCGGAGAACCTAACGGGTAACCGGGGCTCCGGCTCGACGTGCAGGAGAAGGAACGAGGTGGTTTTTAGTCAGTAAGTAGTTTTAAGTGTGGGAGGGCCATGCTTTGCATTACGAATGGGCCGGCTCGACCGGAGTGATACCACGGCCTCACAGAAAACCGACGTGAAGCAACGCTTGCGTTGTGTTTCGTCGTGTGAGTGAGCTTACCGGAGGCCCAATTACCTTGCCCTTCCCCAATCTCCCCAATGACTGAATCCCCAACGATCCTCAAACTCCTAATCCCCAAAAAGCCGGTGACGCACTTGTAACGCCTCTGGTGTTCCAGGTGTCCATGGGCGACGCCGATTGCTTACCATCAGGTGATCCGTCTGCTCGTTTACCGGATTATGCCATAAAAAAAAGTAATAGTCTGACACTCCCTCACGCCTCACCCAGGCAAGAGCAGTAATTCGATGATTTTCTCCACTTAAAAAAAAAATAGTCACGCCATATACCCATTTAAGCTACCCATATATGTAGGTCTGCCAAGGTAACCTAGAAGGTATTGTTTAAGGCTAGTGTTTGCCTTACCCAAAGCAATTTAGTTGGGAACAATGCAGTTATCACACCGCTTGTTGGATTAATTTATCACTGGTTATTATCTACGTTCAGGTCACTAAACTTCAGTACATTTAGGTTGTAAACTACCCAACTGTCGTGATTGATTAATTATTACGGAGGACGATAGTAAATTATTGCCCAGATTTATTAGATCTGTCCTTTATATTTCATCATCAAGCAGCCTTTAAATTGTCAAACACCGCGAGGACACCGGTGACCGCAACCTATTGTTCTTTAATTGTGTCTAGAGGTATAATGACGGTACTCTCTGTGTGTATCCACAGATATATTAATTCTGTGTGTCTATAATGAGTTAAGTTACGGATACGGTTACGGTTTGGGATACGGGAACGGATAAGGTTTGAGCATTAATCACCACGCTTGCTCAATGCGGGTTGACGATTTCAAACTTACATAACATCACGCCTTTTATCCCTGAAGGGGTAGGCAGAGGTGCACATTACAGCACTTAATGCCACTGTACCATGTAACAACCACTTTTCACTATTTTATGTTATGAGTCCCATGTAATAGGGAGTGATCCTATTGCCATATACCGGGCATAATTCCAGACTCTAGACTCGTGCTACCACTGAGAATTAAAAAAAACTAAGTAATACTTTGCCTGATCCGGGAATCGAACCCGACACCCGTTAGTCGGCAATATTTTTAGGAGACATTGTGACATGATGGCAAAAATAACAATAATTATGATTACAAAACTTATGTTATCAAATACACCTTATTAGAAGTTACCTATAACAACATATTTCGAAGTTTTTATCCCCGAAATTGGACAACTTAAATCGAATAGCTTTATAATCGTCTAATTTTCTAACTAAATTAGGAAGCATTATTAAGAAATTAAGTTGACTTGTTGGTGCAAAAAACCTGGTGAAATTAGTACTATAGTACTCTATAGACATCTATAGAACTGATTTGGGTGCAAATTGGTGGGGAGGTAGCTTAGAACCAGGAGACGGATATAGGATACTTTTTATCCAAATTCTTTTTTTTACTTTTTACTGAAAATCACGAACGTGAACGGGAAAAAACGGGATTGCTCGTACTAATAAGTCACAGGCAGAAGCTACATAACATAACATCACGCCTTTTATGCCTGTAGGGGTAGGCAGAGGTGCACACAGAAGTAACACCCACTTTTCATTATTTATGTTATGAGTCCCATGTAATAGGGGGTGAGCCTATATATAGTGAGTATAGCGAGGCAGAAGCTAGTGTAAGATAAATGTTATATTCATGTGAAGCACTCTCTATCTGAACGGTTTTCTTAAACAATTACATAACATACGCCTTTTTATCCCTGAAGGGGTAGGCAGAGGTGCACATTATGTGAAAATAATGAGACTATTTATGTTATGAGTCCCATGTAATAGGGGGTGAGCCTTTTGCCACATACCGAGCATAATTCCAGACTCCTTGCTACTACAGAGATTTTTTTTAAAAACTCAATAGTATTTTGGCCGACCCGGCAATCGAACCCGAAATCCCTTGCCCGGTAGTCGCACTTCCGACCACTCGGCCAGCGAGGCAGTCAATACGGTGTTAAACAATTACCAATAACAATATTCAAAAAAGCAATGTACTTTAACTTATAATTTTACATACTAATCCAACTGAACGAGGGATACGAAAAACTGCATCTATCTGACATGAATTCAATCAGATTCCCCGTCATTCCCACGATTGAATCCGCATAAATTCCACATCCTATCTCTGGACCGTTTGATTGGGTTATCAGAACTTCAGATGCATCAATACAAATGATTTTCTATCAGATATATTAGTCCAACTATTTGTTAAGCAAATCAGACTTTTATATTAATACTTTTAATTGATTTGTTTAAATATAATGGAATAGAATATAACTTTATTGTACATCATTAATAATATAGTACATACAGAAAAGGAAATGACAAACATAAAGAAAAATAATAATGGGCACAAAGGCGGTCTTATCACATATAGTGATTTCTACTAGACAAATAGTACACAGTTTTCTTTGCTTTGTTAGTGTAACTAACAGTATACTTATTACAAGTCTCAATTCTGTTTGTAATTAGGTACAGAATTCTTGAGTGGGTATCTACATAAATACTCTAATATGACAAAAAAAAATCTAGCAAATCACAATATCTTTTTCATATTAGACTCGTATTAACTAAAAATCGCGGGTTACTCACGTGAAAATACTGAGAAAAGCTCTACTAGTTTCGAACCACAGAGGGGTTCTTGATCATGAGCTGCGTGCCGGCTGCGCGACATCGTGTAACGTATAATCGCGATTTTTAGTTAATTTAGTATGTCCACGATATCTATTATAAAAACATAGATTCATATCTGATACTTTATTTAGGTATTAGATTATAAATTCTCAATATTTTTTTTAAAATATCAAGCCCACTGTATGTCCTCGCTTTAACCTACATCGTGTACTTATTTCACAGCTCCATGAAGGTCAGTCAACGACCTCAATATAATGCATGCTAAACTTAATCCTCGCGCTACTTCTAAACAAGGAAACATTAATCAATCAATGGCAAATTGTTTGCAGAACATTCACCCTCATCTCGCAAAGACACATGTAAGGAGTCGACTGGGCAAGCTGGCGGACGGGAAGGATATTGATTGGGCCACCGCTGAGGCGTTAGCATTTGGTGAGAACTGTAGATTTATTTATTTACTAGCTTTTACCCGCGGCTTCGCTTGCGTCACAAAATAATAAAAAGAAGCCAATGTGACATATACCAATACACACAGCGCCATCTATACCAATAATTTTGTTTTTCCTCGGGAATATCACATTTTTCCGGGATAAAAAGTACCCTATTATTTAATCCGGACTTCTAACTATACATCTGCAAAAATTCAAAGCAATCGGTTGAGTAGTTACGGCGTGAAGGTGGAACAAACAAACAAACAAACTCACTTTCAGATTTATAATATTAGTAAGGATCATCACACTTACATCTATTATTACAGGTTTAACCTAATGTGACAGAGAAGCTACTAACATTAAACAAACATGCAAACAAAGTTAATAATAGCAGTATCCATACATACAAGCAATAATCCTTACTTCCTTACTTATATTATAAATCGAAAAGTGAGTTTGTTTGTTTGTTCCGCTTTCACGACGTAAATACTGAACCGATTGCTTTGAAATTTTGCAGAGGTAAAGTTAGAAGTCTGGATTAAATAATAGGGTACTTTTTATCCCGGAAAAATTTTATATACCCGAGGGAAAAGAAAAGTATTGGTATAGATGGCGCTGTGTGTATTGGTATATGTCACATAGGCTACTTTTTATCCTTTTGTGACGCGAGCGAAGCCGCGGGTAAAAGCTAGTTAATAATATATAATTAAAACGAAACTACAATACTAAATTATCCTAATAACATTAATAACATATTACTGAAAACGCTACCCTTGAGAAGTCACTCACCGAACAGTTAAATCTTTTCATTTCGTAACCGATTACAATGGAGTCAAGCTTCATAACAATTCAATGTTTCTGTTCTCAACAGTTAATATTAGTATCTCATTAGTAGTTTGCTAAAAAATATGATAGAATATATTCAGTTTTAGATATCTCTAAAGATATCAAATAATAATATTGTACGGTTTACGTACACTAATTATGTTAATTAAACTTATTCTATTATGATGACTATACATATCGGACGATATTCCGTCGCGGCATTCAATTGTAGACCAGTGTGCACTTCAACTCGCTACCGAACGTACCACTGTGAGAATCACCTAACAATCTTACTTGTAACCTTTAAAAATAAACTTTTCGGGACTTCTAGAAGTGTTTACACTCACAACTTCAAACTTAACTATCTACGAGTACTTTACTCCATAACAATTAACTATAAAAAGTAGTGTACAGTTCACTACACTGTACATTAAATGGTCCTTCGAGCCGGATGCGAAGTGATTTTTGTGTCTTATAAAGTGTGATAGCGAATCGGTTTGGCTGGCCTCCCACAAGCGGGTCTCACCAGTCCAGATTGAGAATCGAGTGTCATCACGAAGGCACAGAGTTACTGAGCATCAGCGATCTTCAAATTTCGTCGGAACTAGCGGACAAGACGAATTACTAAGAAACATTGAGAGGAGACTAGTGGAACTACGGAACTATATTGAAGAAGACCTGGTTCTTCGTGTCCAGGACATAACTGATCTTGGATACTACTATTCAACTTAGGTACTTACCTATTACATCTACTTAAAACTACTTACAACCTACAAAACTTACCTCTTTACTATGGAGCTGCAACTAACTAAACAAGTCGGCACCTTTGAGGATCTGAAAACGCTCTGCACCAACTATAGAAAGGACAGCATTGCTAGAAAAACTGTAGATTACTTGGAAAAACGTTTGGCGAACTTAGAAAAGCTATGGTCGAGCTTTCATGAACAGCATCAACTACTAGTGGAAAACATTGAAAACAAAAACATCGCATATTTTAACAACGGCACTTACGAGAAAACTAAGAACTTGTACGAATCAACAAAGAAAAACATGCTTGATATGATGGCTTCGCAACAAACACGACAACAACAACAACCAAATTTAGATTTTGACTTATCTGGACTCATTGACGAGAATACTGAAGACGAGGTACAAAAGCTGATTGCCCAACAAAAACGCAATTTTAAAGCTTTGGACAAAGCTATGGGAAAAATAGATCTTAATACGATTACTGAGAAGTGGGAATTTGAGGAACATCTGGTGGCCTTGAAATCTAAATGGGAATTAATTGACAAAATACACTGGGAACTGGAAGACGAACTAAAAGCCTCTAGTTCCTGTACCAACTACAATGAAAAATGAAGCGATCGAGGAAAAATATGACAATCTCAGACGAGAAATAAACAGCAAAATTTGGTCCACTCAACATTATCAGCGTTCCGCACCAAAAATCGACGTGCCAGAGTTTTCTGGAAACTATATTCACTGGATAACTTTCAAAGATATCTTTATTGAAACGATTCATAACAACCCAAGCATTTCTAAGGCTCAAAAAATGCAATATTTAAAGACTAAATTAAAAGGTGAAGCAAACGCCTCGTCCACCACCTCTCCATTAGTGCAGATAACTATGATTCTTGTTGGGAGATACTATCACACCGATATAACAACCGTCGACTTCAGTTCACATCATTTATGAGCACTATGCAACACCTACCAACTATTCAACAACCCAACGCTCATAACTTAAAACGCATGCACGATGTAATAACAGAGTGTTTGAATGGCCTTGGTAATATGGAGTTGAAGTATCGAGTTGGGGACCAATGATTGTTTACAATATGTCGCAAAAATTGGATTCCGCCACTCTCAACGAGTATACAAAGGAAACACAGAATAACAGAGAATTGCCGGACTTAGAGGAATTCCTCCACTTCCTTGAACTTAAATTTCTCGCTTACGAAACAGCGAAAAGCTGCTCGAGAGACGCTTCTGAAAACAAGATTCCAAAACCAAACAACAAGGGCTGGACAAACAACTACAGAACAATAATTTTGTTAACAAACATCAAGACAAAAAGTTGGGCTATTCAAAAATTTTCCATGCATCGTATGGACAATGTCCGCTTTGCCACAAAGATCACGTGTTGATGCAATGTGACAAATTTACTGACATGGATATTGCCCAACGCAACCAAACTGTTTCAAAACTCAAAGTCTGCAAAAACTGTCTATACAGCCACGGCAACAGCGCTTGTAATTCGAAGAAAACGTGCCGTGAATGTAATTTGAAGCATCATACATTATTACATATGACTAAAATTTCCTACAATGAACCAAATGTTAAAAGGGATCATGATCGGCATTCAAATCCGAAGTATTCACCATCATCCCCACCTAGCACTCACCACTTAGCGACTGATGGTACTGAAATCTTACTGACTACAGTTCAAATCAAGGTGCAATCTGCTGACGGAAATTATATAACTTTGCGGGGTCTCCTAGACCAAGGGTCCCAAACAAACCTCATATCTGAAAATGCAGCTCAATTACTACGCTTACCTCGAACCAAATTTGACGCCGCTATTACTGGAATCGGAGCTACGTCACGTAACTGCAAGGGACTTGTTCATCTCAACTGCAAATCAATTCACTCAGATTTTTCCTTCAACGTACCAGCATTGATACTGAGTAACTTAACTAATAAGTTGCCTGGATGCACATTCCAGAGCTCGGGCTGGACCCATCTTCAAAACTTGAAGCTTGCCGATCCTAACTATAATGTGTCTAGCACAATTGACCTTCTGCTGGGTGCTGATGTTTACGCAGACATCATCTTAGAGGGAGTCTTAAAAGGTGACCAGCATGCACCCATCGCCCAGCAAACTCGCCTGGGTTGGATTCTGTGCGGCAAACTGAAAACCTTCAACTGTCATTTAACATTAGCGAATACAGCTGATTTGTCGAGATACTGGGAGAGTGAAGATATTACTCAAAACTCTCAGGACATACAACGAGACGACAAATGTGAAATTCACTATAAAGAAACAACCACGAGATGTTCTGACGGCAAATATAAGGTAAAAATGCCCATGGTACAATCCTACGTGCAACACCTTGGAACCTCGAAGTCAGCTGCAACTGCACAATTTTTAAATCAAGAAAAACGACTTCATAACAATAAACAACTATTAACGATGTACAGAAATTTCATGAATGAATACATAGCATTACAACATATGGAGCCGGCGTCTCAGACGACACCACAACAAACTGAATATTATTTACCACACCACGGCGTTTTACGGGAACATTCCACAACTACTAAATTAAGAGTTGTGTTTAACGCGTCACAGAAGACTTCTAGTGGAAAAAGCTTAAACAGCCTGATGGAGAAAGGTCCAAACCTACAAAAGGACATTCAAGCTCTAATTCTGAACTGGAGAACTTATCGATACGCATTTACGGCGGACATCGAAAAAATGTACCGTTGTTTATGGATTGATGAAGAACAAAAATCGCTTCAAAAAATCATATGGAGGAATTTGCCCAGTGAGCCATTACGCGAGTACAACCTATGCACTGTGACCTACGGAACTAAGAGCGCGCCATGGTTAGCAATGCGAACCTTACAACAATTGGCTAACGACGATGGTCACTTATACCCCGAAGCAGCAAACATACTACGCAACGAATTCTACATGGATGATTTGTTGAGCGGGCATAACTGTCTCGAAACTGCCAAAAATCTCCAAACAGATCTAATACAGCTGCTGCAACGCGGTGGTATAACTTAAGGAAATGGTCCAGTAATTGTGACGAACTACTAAAACATCTGAATGATGAACAAATTTCGAAAACAAACTTTGATTTTAAACATGAAGACTCAATGAAAACCCTTGGCCTTGGGTGGAATCCCCACTCCGATACATTCACTTTTAGTTGGAATATTAAAACGAATTCTCGGAAAATTCTAACGAAACGATTACTACTTTCTCAAATTTCGCAACTATATGATCCCCTTGGATGGTTCTCCCCGGTGACCATACGAGCTAAACTTATCTTTCAACGCGTGTGGACAGAGAAATTATCATGGGATGAGTCATTACCCACTGATACACAAGAGGAATGGCTGAAACTGAAAAATCAACTAGAAGAACTTAAAACGATAAAAAAA